TTCATTTAACTGGTTAGTTCTGAGTTCATTCTCATTACGTCTCTGAGTTTCAGTTCAGTCATTTGTTTTTTAGGTTCCCCTTTGTCCTCTGCACCCCTCTGTGTGTTTGATCATGTCTGAGTTTTCCAACATTTAGCTCCCATGTCCCCCTCCTCGTCATTATTCCATGCCCCCCCCCCCTGTCTGTTTGCATTTGGGTCCTCACATAAAAAGAATCTGCCTCTGCATATCGTGGCACAAGTCAAGCATAGTTGTTTTAACTAAACGCTAAATAAAGATAAATTGATCAAATCTTTGGCTGAAGCTGGAGGAAATAGTTTAGAGAACTATGTAAGACTGCAGTTCTGCGTCCTGGTCTCAACTCTGGATGCCTAAGAAGTTTTATTTAGCTTATCCGTCCAGCTACACTTTCTGAAGCAGCATGGACGTCCTCTCTAATAAGACCAGGATTTCATGGTTTTCTGGACTGTGAGAGACAGCGAGGACTGTATGTGCCATCAGCTCTTCTGCACATTGTGCAGCTCAGCCACACAGAGTTCAGGTTTACAGGGTTGAATAGTTTGTAATAACGCAGCTCTCCTCTAGATAAACCCTGAGCTCCACCTGACTCCTAATCCTCAGAACCCTTTGCACAGGTAGTGATTTCTATCATAAGAGATTTTTCTCATATTAAAAGTATATTGATTCTCATTCTTATTTATTTTCCCTCGCTGTTTTTAGAGTGTGAAACTTGAGCTCACACTGGATTTTTGATCCACTGAATCTCAGCAGAGAGCTGTTTTCACTGTAGTGAACAAGCTGCCTGTTTGTATATAAATTACAGTGCATCGTTAGATCCTCCTGCAATTGTGACACGACAATAAATTTCCTCACTTAGTAAATCTGTCCCATAGCATATAAATTAGATCCATCTTATTTTCATGTATTTTACTGTTGTTGATCAAAAGTAATTAAGCTCCTCCCTGTTTAGGATTTCTATGACTGCCTCAGTCCGTCACTTATCCCAGCTGACCTCAAGTAAGAATTCATCCTAAAAACAAGGACATTGCTGATGAAAACTGAACATTATTATTAATAAATATAATTATTATTATTATTATTATACAGGACATTAACATTAATGTAGATCATAATAAGCTCATATTCTTCAGTTCTTATTACAACAGTGATTTTTCAAGCTCAGCTGTGAGTTTAACAAACTGTTGTTAAATCTATCAGGATGTTTTGGATGAACGTGCAGTTACAGTGAACGTTTCCATCTGCTTTGTTTATTATGTCGATTGTTTTCATAATCGGTTGGATGGTCCATCACGATGACTTATTAGACTGAATGTTTTTTCCTCCCTTTTCATAAAGGACGGTCCAGTGTATCCTATGATAAAGGAAGCAATAAAGGAAGCACTGAAGCCTCCTTTCCTTTCCTGTTTCCAGTTTAAAGCGGGTTTATTGTCATTTCTTGTTCCAGTTCTTCAAATCTTCAAACAAATTTGGAGAATTGGAAGAGCTTTGATTATGGCCACCACACAGATAATTCCAGGTCATGTCTCTCAGTTAGGAAACTTCCTAACTGGACTGTTGGGATGTAGGTAGGTGTCAGGCTACTGTGGTGAGTCGACCCTTGACCTTAGCTCTTTGAAAGAGCACAGAATGATGAAACAGTTAAAGTCATTGGGAACATGACGGGAGTTTATTGAACACATGGATTTGCTTTGAAACTAGAGTCTATATTTAGAGGATTTCTGTTATTAATTTGAATGAAACTCATGGAGCCCATCAGCCCCTTCACCTCTCAACATTCTTTCCAACGATTCGCTGCAAAAATAGGTTTCTGAGGTTTGGC